CATGTAGGCGAGCCTCCAGAGCAAGTCGGACAAAATGACTAACCATCATGCAACGCACTAGCAAGACGTTGGTCGCAATTGCGCAGGTCTGCGTCGGTCTCGCTTGTCTCAAACAAGCCTATCGTGAGAGTCCCGGACATGAATTCATAGATCAAGGCAGACTGGTTTACTCTCCTGTTTTGCCAATCCGGTGCTTAAACAAATAGCTCTACACCTCTGGCCGACATGTCCTTAAAATGAAGTCCGAGTTTGAAATATATCTCAAATAATGTATGCACTGGCCCTTTGTCTTGGTCTCCTATAGTCCTCTGACATTCTGACTTTTTTTCCCAGGTATGGGATGTAATGAATGTACACATCCGTCGTGTCAGCACTCTCTAAACTCTTTGGGCATTGGACAGTGTGTGGAGTGTGATGGTGGGGTTTTGGTGCTGGATCCCACTTCTGGACCAAAATGGAGGATGGCCTGTAATACATGTAACGTGGTGGTGCACTTCTTTGAACATGCACATAGAGTGCAGGTAAGAATAAACGACCTTTATCTTGTCAAGACATCATTTAAATGGCAAAATGTCTCCCAAAATGCCAAAAAAGTCTTCACAGGCCCAGAACACCAAACATATGAGAAGCTGATTTCCCTGATTAATGCACAGTGTATATTCACATGCTGTATGTAAGCTTTTTAATGTAAAGTGATTTGCTAATGTAAATGTGTTTCCTCTTATGTGCAATGAGGTGCAGACTGTTTTGCTGCAGAATTTGAAGGAAATGCGTACCATTATTTCCATATTTTATAGTCAACAATAAAAACCAAGACAAGCCCAAACATACAATGTGTTAATCAGTCTTTCAACACTTCTGACTTCCCTTTCTATGGCTCTCTGCCCTAAGTGGATTTGTTTGAAACTAAGACATATTTAAAAAAGCTTAAAGATATAAAGTTCCCTTTTTTTATAAAGAATAAATAATATCCTACTACAGTTTTTATCAAAAGTTATTTAAATAGGTGGAAGTAATGCTGTAATAATGCTGTTTTACTTATTTCACTGAGAGCAGAACCAGGTGTTGGCACTAGATGGAAAGTCAGTGGATCACTAAAGTTATGAATTGATTATAGTTTACACCCTAAGCTGTGGAGCCACTTACATTTGTTCTGAGGGTTTTATCATTTAATCTCATAAAAAGCGTCTCTTCATCCCTGCCTCTGGTCCTCTCTCCCCACAGGTTGCTCAGGAGAGCTGCGAGGCCTGCGACGCCTCTCTGGTCGCAGTCGACTTCAACAAGACTCGCACGCCACTTCCTGCCGGGGAGACCCAACACACTGGCTGTGTGTTCTGTGATCCAGTCTTCCAGGATCTGGTGGAGCTCAAACATGCCACCATGAGGTATCGCGGTGGGGGTGCGAGACGAGGAGGACGGGGACGTGGCAGGGGACGCCGTGGCAATCCGAAAAAACCTAAGGACAAAATGGCGGCCTTGGCTGCATACTTTGTGTAGTGTCTGTGTATAATGCATACTGTTATTTGTATGAAGATTCAGTAAATTGACTTTTATAAGTGCATTTAACTACACTCACATAAAATATGTACAAAACATGTGGGCTGTCTGTTTCCCCCCCCCCATCATTAAAGAGTTGTTTAACAGTGTTTTTTCAACTTTAAATACTGTTTTCAGGGAAACATCCTAGAAAAAATGTGCTAGCTTACACACTACCAGTAACATGGTTACGTACACTTTATTATGCTATCTGTACTACACAATCATTTAATTTTTACAAAAATACAAATGTTAAAGTAAGGAATTTGTCGGCATCTTTTCGTTGCGGTTGCAGATGACAACCAAATGAATCCCTGTGGCTCACTCCTCACTTTACACACTTGCAGGATTGAGAGTTTAAACCCGCTCTAACCCTGGTATCTTTCAGGACATTCACCAGAAAACCCTTTTAACAAAACACTACTTTAGAAGCAATTCAATTCAAGCTGTGGCTGACATGAAACATGGTGGTGCAACATGTCAGATTCTAACACTGTTCTCAGTTTCAGGCGAGTACAGTAGTGAAATATATCAATATTCCATTCCATTCCTGCTAAAAGACCCCTAAATGATACACACTTTTAAAAGTATTTTTGAGAAATGTCTCTTTTACACCATTTATTGCATTACAAATGGTTGTTGATTCATCAATAATTATTTTAAGTTTAGACAAATCTCTTTTTCAGTGTAATCAACCTTTTTAGTAGTTTCATTTCATGTTCTTTCCTAGAGAGGCGAAGTCCCTCCCCTTCCGGGGACCTCCATGGGACCTTGGCCGTTTCTCAATCGCGAGGATGCTTGCTTGGTAGCACATGTCTTCCGAGTCACTTCCTTCAGAAGCTAGGCAAGAATCCTTCCTGGCATTCGGAAAACGAAGAGTGGAACAGGCTAGCAAGTGTGCAGGTGTGTGTCATATGAGATGCCCCGCCTTACATTTTCCGCCACAGATTTGGGGAAATTGGTCCGTGCGCAAAGCATTGTGGGGATTTGAAGGACGCAAGGCCCAATCCCAAACCACTCCCTCGACCCTACCCCTCAGTGACGGAGTGAACTCCGTCTGTAGCCACACTCGCAGCTCAACGAGGCACCCTCCTGTCAGGTGGAGGGAGTAAATACAGCAGCAAGGTTTGGGACGTCTCCCCTCTCTCCGGCAGAATTAGGAAATGCCGTAACTGTATGCAACAACGGTTTCAAATCAGCATCTCTTTGATAAAAAATGTAAATTAATAACTCAAATAAAACTCCAAACATCTTTAATTGTGTTACTTTTTTGTAAAGCTCTTTTAGTTTTAAACCTGATGTTTATAAGCTTCTTAGTTTTTGCAACAGTCTGTAATATACACAACTTTATAATAAAATGCACACATTTACCTTGTTCTAGACTAAACACAGGTAGGATCTTAAGTTAAAAACATATGATGTTATCATGAGGTTGTTAACATCGCAGTTTATCAGTGGATGTTTGCTGGAACTACTTGTAAATAGCGTGTTTCCTGACGGACACACACAGTGTGACTCCAAGGCACACAGGGGGATAGGG